AAAATGACACGCAAAGTAAGTCGCCAACAGAAGAACAACGCCGCGCTCAATCAGCCGATGATGCACACAACCAGGTGAGTGTTTCGGCGCCCCGCTGTGACCGGCACATCTCCCACCCGTCTGTTTTGAGGAGAGACAGGTCCTCTTTATAAGCCACATGCCTCGGTTTCTCTGCACCACTCTGTCTTCAGGTCTCGTGTACAGATCTGTAGAAATGGACGGACGCCTTAAAATGCGCATGAGCAACCCCCTGGCCCTGAGAAATGCCATGCATGCCGCCATCGCTGGAGTGCATGCAGGGGGGAAATGGCTGCAAAGAGGCTGCAGGAGATCAGCAGCACCGACACGTCACAAGGGAGTGCGAAATGAATCTTTTTTTTACCTGTTTCTGATACAAATTAATTCATCTGAATATCACAGAATTGGGGTTTATATCTGGCTATGAATAGTTATTTTTTTGTACTTTCCCCTCCCCCGGGATGGTTGGGTGTCAGAAAATGGCGCCCGCGGGTTTGTGGTCGGTCCAGCTGTGGTCAGACGACCATAACAAGAGGCAGTGCACAAAATGGTTGCGGTCAAGCTTCCATTTTCTGCTGAAAACCGGCAATCAGGAAATCACAACTGATTGTCACGTGAATAATTTCCACGGAATCCATCACACGGCTTTCTTCCCGGGAAATTTGGAGGGTCATGTGACACCCGGCCGGTGTGCCGAATTGTTAATGAGATTGTCCAAAGTTGTTCTGTTTCGTTATTGACGGTGGTGGCAGTTTTAGAGGAGGATGGGGCAGTGTCAATGGATGGTGGTGGCAGTGTCAGAGGATGGTGGTGGCAGTGTCAGAGGATGGTGGGGGCAGTGTTAGAGGATGGTGGTGGCAGTGTCGGAGGATGGTGGAGGCAGTGTCAGAGTATGGTGGGAGCAGTGTCAGAGGATGGTGGTGGCAGTGTCAGGGGATGGTGGTGGCAGTGTCGGAGGATGGTGGTGGCAGTGTCAGAGGATGGTGGAGGCAGTGTCAGAGGATGGTGGAGGCAGTGTCAGAGGATGGTGGAGGCAGTGTCAGAGGATGGTGGAGGCAGTGTCAGAGGATGGTGGAGGCAGTGTCAGAGGATGGTGGAGGCAGTGTCAGAGGATGGTGGAGGCAGTGTCAGAGGATGGTGGAGGCAGTGTCAGAGGATGGTGGAGGCAGTGTCAGAGGATGGTGGAGGCAGTGTCAGAGGATGGTGGAGGCAGTGTCAGAGGATGGTGGTGACAGTGTCGGAGGATGGTGGAGGCAGTGTCAGGGGATGATGGGGGCAGTGTCAGAGGATGGTGGGGGCATGGTCAGAGGATGGTGGAGGCAGTGTCAGAGGATGGTGGTGACAGTGTCGGAGGATGGTGGAGGCAGTGTCAGGGGATGATGGGGGCAGTGTCAGAGGATGGTGGAGGCAGTGTCAGAGGATGGTGGAGGCAGTGTCAGAGGATGGTGGAAGCAGTGTCAGAGGATGGTGGAAGCAGTGTCGGAGGATGGTGGAGGCAGTGTTGGAGGATGGTGGAGGCAGTGTCGGAGGATGGTGGAGGCAGTGTCAGAGGATGGTGGAAGCAGTGTCAGAGGATGGTGGAAGCAGTGTCAGAGGATGGTGGAAGCAGTGTCAGAGGATGGTGGAAGCAGTGTCAGAGGATGGTGGAAGCAGTGTCAGAGGATGGTGGAAGCAGTGTCAGAGGATGGTGGAAGCAGTGTCAGAGGATGGTGGAAGCAGTGTCAGAGGATGGTGGAAGCAGTGTCAGAGGATGGTGGAAGCAGTGTCAGAGGATGGTGGAAGCAGTGTCAGAGGATGGTGGAAGCAGTGTCAGAGGATGGTGGAAGCAGTGTCAGAGGATGGTGGAAGCAGTGTCAGAGGATGGTGGAAGCAGTGTCAGAGGATGGTGGAAGCAGTGTCAGAGGATGGTGGAAGCAGTGTCAGAGGATGGTGGAAGCAGTGTCAGAGGATGGTGGAAGCAGTGTCAGAGGATGGTGGAAGCAGTGTCAGAGGATGGTGGAAGCAGTGTCAGAGGATGGTGGAAGCAGTGTCAGAGGATGGTGGAAGCAGTGTCAGAGGATGGTGGAAGCAGTGTCGGAGGATGGTGGAGGCAGTGTCAGAGGATGGTGGAGGCAGTGTCAGGGGATGGTGGTGGCAGTGTCAGAGGATGGTGGCGGCAGTGTCAGAGGATGGTGGAGGCAGTGTCAGAGGAGAAGTGATGGCAGTGTCAGAGGATGGTGATGGCAGTGTCAGGGGATGATGGTGGCAGTGTTAGAGGACGGTGGTGGCAGTGTCAGAGGATGGTTGTGGCAGTGTCAGAGGATGGTGGGGGCAGTGGCGGAGGATGGTGGGGGCATGGTCAGAGGATGGTGGTGGCAGTGTCAGAGGATAATGGTGGCTTGGTCAGAGGATGGTGGGGGCAGTGTCAGAGGATGGTGATGGCAGTGTCAGGGGATGATGGTGGCAATGTTAGAGGACGGTGGTGGCAGTGTCAGAGGATGGTGGGCAGTGTCAGAGGATGGTGGGGGCAGTGTCGGAGGATGGTGGGGGCAGTGCAGGGGATGGTGGTGGCAGTGTCAGAGGATGGTGGAGGCAGTGCAGGGGATGGGGGATTCAGAGGACGGTGGGGGCAGTGTCAGAGGATGGTGGTGGCAGTGTCAGAGGATGGTGGTGGCAGTGCAGGGGATGGTGGTGGCAGTTTCAGAGGACGGTGGGGGCAGTGTCAGAGGATGGTGGTGGCAGTGTCAGAGGATGGTGGTGGCAGTGCAGGGGATGGTGGTGGCAGTTTCAGAGGACGGTGGGGGCAGTGTCAGAGGATGGTGGTGGCAGTGTCAGAGGATGGTGGTGGCAGTGCAGGGGATGGTGGTGGCAGTTTCAGAGGACGGTGGGGGCAGTGTCAGAGGATGGTGGTGGCAGTGTCAGGGGATGGTGGTGGCAGTGTCGGAGGATGGTGGGGCAGTGTCAGGGGATGATGGGTGCAGTAGTCTCTCATTTTTATTGCAGGTTAAAGCTCATTGCGGTGAAGCAGCCGGTTCCTTTAGAATGGGCGGCAACACACCACAACTGACCCTTTAGCGCGTCTGCCAACAACCTTTTGTTTCTCAGTGCATTTCAATCCACATCTGTATGTTGTGCTGCACTGAACAGCAGGTCCGGGGGATGGGGGGGGTTTGTGCGTTACCGTTGGGCGTAACACCCGCTAGACAGCACGTTAGCGTGCTTCTGTCCAGACAGACACAGAGATCGTCCGACACAATGCACAATGGTCAATAAAAACACATTCCATGTATGGATTTTAAGGGCGAGAGCTATTTAATTTGTGCTTTTTCATGTTCTCTTTTTTTGTTGTTGTTATTTTATTTATTTATTATCGGTATTTATATAGTGCTGAGAATTTACACCGTGCGTTACATGGTGCACATTCACAGCAGTCCCTGCCCTTAGGGGGCTTACAATCTAACGTCCCTGTGGCACACTAGTACCCGGCCAATTATACTTCCAGCGTGTCTTCCGAGTTATTTGATGTTTCTTGGACAGAAAGAAAAGAAATATAAAGTACAATAAAATTATATATACACACACACATTTCTCTCTCTCTGGATAGATAGATAGATAGATAGATAGATAGATAGATAGATAGATAGATAGATAGATAGATAGATAGATAGATAGATAGACAGACAGACAGACAGGTAGATAGATAGACAGACAGACAGACAGACAGGTAGATAGATAGATAGATAGATAGATAGATAGATAGATAGACAGACAGACAGACAGGTAGATAGATAGATAGATAGATAGATAGATAGATAGATAGATAGATAGATAGATAGATAGATAGATAGATAGATAGAGGGATAGATAGACCGACAGACAGGTAGATAGATAGATAGATAGATAGATAGATAGATAGAGGGATAGATAGATAGAGTGATAGATAGATAGATAGATAGATAGATAGATAGATAGATAGATAGATAGATAGATAGATAGATAGATAGACAGACAGACAGACAGACAGACAGGTAGATAGATAGACAGATAGACAGACAGATAGATAGATAGATAGATAGAGGGATAGATAGACAGACAGATAGACAGACAGACAGGTAGATAGATAGATAGATAGATAGATAGATAGATAGATAGATAGATAGATAGATAGATAGATAGATATGAGATAGATAGATAGATAGATATGAGATAGATAGATAGATAGATAGATAGATAGATAGATAGATAGATGGATAGATAGATGGATAGATAGATAGATAGATAGATAGATAGATAGATAGATAGATAGATGATTTCAGCAGTGGTACTATTTTTTTTTTTTTCAATTTAACTTTTTTTTGTCCCTTTTTATTTCTGTGAAAAAGTCAAACAACAGAAATACAAACAAAAAAAATCTATTTAGAGCAGGGGGTAGCAAACCTCCAGCCCTCCAGCTGTGGGTGGAACTACAAATCCCATGAGGCATTGCAAGATTCTCACAGCCACTGACATGACTCCCGAAGACAGATGCATCATGGGATTTGTAGTTTCACCACAGCTGGAGGGCCTGATTTAGAGTCATGTAAATGTAAGAATCAAAAAAATATATATATATTTGTGTCTTGTATATTTGCTGAAAATAGATTTCCTTACAATAAATAATGTATTTATATATATATATAGAGAGAGAGAGAGAGAGAGAGAGATATTATATATAAAAGGAGACACCGTTCCTTTAATTCCTTCTTCATTTTCTTTTGATGTCATTTTTTTTTTAACAGAACTACAGAGCCGTGTGTGTGTGTGTAGCAGAGCGTAGTGTGTGTGTAGCAGAGCGTAGTGTGTGTGTGTGTAGCAGAGCGTAGTGTGTGTGTGTAGCAGAGCATAGTGTGTGTGTAGCAGAGCGTAGTGTGTGTGTGTGTGTAGCAGAGCGTAGTGTGTGTGTGTGTCAGAGCATAGTGTGTGTGTAGCAGAGCGTAACTCATATTTCTATTTTTCTTCTCATTTCGCTCGCTGGAGTTTTTCGACTTTTTTTTTCCAAAGCACAGAACTGCTGAGCGCCTGCGGAGCCTGGATCCGCTACCATGTGCTGCTCTGCGGGGAGGTGAAGGTAAGAGGACCTGTCTGATGAGGAGTGAGTGTGTACTGGGGGGTGACTGGTGACACAAGTCGCAGGGATCAGCGGCTGCATTCTGCTACAAACTATCTCTGAAAGAGTTAAATCTTCGTACAAGTATCACTTCATAACTTTCTGCGTCTTTACGGATATTCCTGAACGGGTGCCGGGGCAGATCTTTGATATCGAGGAATGGGTCTGGGTCTGGGTCTGGGTCTGGGTCTGGGTCTGCCTGCGGACAGTTGCTGCAATTTTTCTTCTCCGACCCACCAAATTAAAGCGCGTCCATTGAACGCCGTGCTGGAGATCCCTGAGATGTATAAGGCAGTTTTCCAGCACGCTGGGAAATCTCTGCCACCTCCGTCCTTTGACGGAACATCTAGCGAACACGGCCGCCCCCTGAGTTCAGATTTTGGGATTGCTTTAATCTTTATTTGCTTTTGTAAAAGCGGCGCGGCGAATGTTTCTATTTATTTGTCCGTTCGTAGAAGAAGTTTCCTTTGTTGGTTAAAAAAAGATACAACAGGAGGCGGCTTTGGTGCCGAAAGATTCCGTCTCCTCACAATGAAGCCAAAGGGTTGGATTTTCAGCTTTAAGCTGCTTTTAGTCCTTTTTTAGGCTGTTTTCGTTATTCTTTTTACTGATCTGTATTCAGTCCGCGCTTTCTGTTGTTCGGCAGCTTTATAAAGAGGGATCGACCAATGAAGACGGAACATTTTGGGGTATTCTTTAAAAGTGGTTTCAGCAACCTTCTCCCCATTGTCCCGTTTATAAGCATGGGGGGGGGG